CCAGTGATGGCAGGTGGAGGCAGGGAAACAATACAGGGGTAACAGAGGTCTAAACCAGCTTTCAGCATCCCCCTCTGAGGGTCTGTGCACCTCGAGGCAGCAGATCATATTGATTTCTGGGAGTCCCAAAATACGTCCACGACCCAAGTGGCTGAAATCAGAGGCGTGGGGGAAGGAGAAAGGGGGAGAGGAGTTCATCATCCCAAAATACAAACTCGCAGGTGCGTGCATGAAAAGGCTTGGACACCCCGAGCCACGGCCACCACCTGTGCTTTATGCCAGATGAGGATACGACTGTGACCCTCCTGGTCTCCCCCTCCAGCTTCCCAGGGCAAGTGGCTTAACCTCACAAGGGTGCCCTGAAGCTTAATTAATTCCCGGGCTGTGTGCACTGGGAGAGCCAGCGTGCAAGCAGCGAGCATGGCAGGGGCTGTGCAGAGCAGCAGCAGGGGCATGCTGCCTCCTGCGCGCGGATGCGCTGGGAGAGATTTCAGCTGTACCAAAAAGAAAAAAGAAAAGAAAAGGAAAAAGCTGTGAATTGAAGATGGTGGCAACGCCTCTCCTCTGCCCCCCTAGTATCCCTGGTTATAATCATGTCCCCAGCCAGTACCTGGACCATTACACAACGTTCCAGGAGCGGGGAGGAGGCAATTGCTCCTTCTATGGGGACAGAGCAGGGACCACCTGCAGGAACCAGCCAACCCCTCTGGGAGCCACTGCTCCTCTGCAGCTGCCGAGCTGCAGGTTTGCAGGCAGACGGCATCAGCTTCCATGCTTCCCCCTTCCCCATCATCCTCCTCTTCTTCCTCCCCCTTATGCATTGCTTTTGCTGCTGCTGCTGCCGCTCCACGTGACGGCGGCCACTGCAGAGGTGACCCTCGCCGGGAGGAGGGCAGCCGCGCCGCTCTCCTCCTAGCTTGCGAAAAACTGATTATTCTGCTTTATTCTCCCAGGGATTTAAGAGCAGCTAAAGCCGTTCAGGAATCAGTCTCTGCAATCCCCTCCAAATCGCCCAGCCCAGAGCATCACCGCAGCAGATTGGCGCGAGGCCGGCCCCCCCGCACTGTGAGTCCCCTTGATCCCGGCGGGGTGATGTCACCGGCAGCCAATGCGGACAGCCGT